GCGTCGCAACTCCACGCGCTGCAACTCTACGCGCCGTAACTCCACGCATTGTAATTCCACGCTTCGCAACTCCACGCATTATAATTCTATGCGTCGCAACTCCACGCGCTGTAATTCCACGCATTGCAATTCCATGCGTCGCAACTCCACGCATTGCAATACTACGCGTCGCAACTCCACGCGCTGCAACTCTACGCGCCGTAACTCCACGTATTGTAATTCCACGCGCCGTATTACCACGCGTCGCAACTTCACGCATTGTAATTCCACGCGTCGCAACTTCACGCATTGTAATTCCACGCGTCGCAACTCCACGCATTGTAACCTCACGCGTCGTAATTCCACGCGTTGCAATTCTATGCGCCGTAACTCCACATGCTCCAGTCCCACGTGTTGTAGTGCGACGCGTGATAGTCCCATGCATTGTAACTCCACTCGCCGTAACTCCACGCACTGTAATTCCACGTGCTGCAGTCCCACGTGTTGTAGGGCGACGCGTGATAGTCTCATGCATTGTAACTTCACTCGCCGTAACGTCACGTGTTATAATTGCACGCATTGTGCTCTCACGTGTTTTAGTTCCACGCTGTGTAATCTTATTCGTTCTATTTATAGTGCTGCACTCTCACGCGTTGTAATTCCACGCGCTATATCTCCACGCGTTATAATTCTTCACACTACAAACTTTCATGCTATAATTTTTAAGGAGCCCCACTCTAACATTCTTATTATTGAATTTTATTATACTTATTATTACTTGAATAATTTTAAATTTAATGTGAAGTTGGAGTATTGTTGCATAATTTCTATTGTTAAAGAACAAGTTAACGTTAACTTAAACCTTAATGGACTAAAGCTATTTTAAAAATATTTGTTGCTGTGTTTAAAGTATTTTTCATACGGACAGTAACTGTGTATTAAATTTTTTGTTTATGATGTATGATAAGGAAAATATTTTTTATCAAATTGGAATATAATAAAGTTAACTGTATAAAATGACTGTAATATGTAAACGTATGATGCTGCATGGTGACATTGGTCCATTAGGGGTTAATACTTTATAACATTAAAAATTATTAATTTATAATTCAGTTAAATACTAGAATAAACAAATTACTGTAACAATGGAGTATTTGTTGCAGATTGTTCAAGATGGCGCCGAACTTGTTTGGTACATCCTCCACATTATATTTAGAAGCCTCCCAGCAAGGTGTGCACCAGGATAAATCGACGACGGAGAAGACGAGCAGTCAGTCAGTACAAGTACAAAAGACCCCCGAAAAAGTTCAACAGAAATACAAATGGAAAATCGTTTGGAGGAACGTGATCGCTTTCATCTACCTTCACATAGGATCTCTCTACGGAATGTATCTATTCTTCAACGGAACGAGATTCTACACGCTCATTTGGCGTAAGTCCCGTTAAACAAAAAGCAATTGGGGCGTCATAAATTTTGTCATAAATTTCACCGGGTGTCAGAATATTTTCTACGACCCGATTACGGGCTAAATTATCCTCGTTTTGTCAGCGATCAATGAAATTCTTTTATGGTCGTTCGATCTTTAACGGAACGTGCTCGGACAACTGGTTACGCGGTATGCATCACGTGCATGACTATGTTGGTCGGTTTCGAAAGTGATGATCTGCTGAGATCTCTAAATACCTCTTGCGATTATAGTCATTATCAATCTTGCAAGTGGGTCAGGTGCAAGAAAAGATGAAACAATGGAAATCCTGGTTGAAACGTTCTTTGAACTTCCATTTTGAATATGATTCTTCGAGGACTTTAAGAAATTTTTACTTGAGACATTAGCTCCACTTTTTCTTATTAGGTTTAGTCAATTTTAGTAATTCCACGCGTCGTAACTCCACGCGTCGTAATTTCACGCACTGGAATGCTACGCGTTGCAATTCCACGCGTTGTAAATTCACTCATCGAAACTCCACGCGCTGTATCTCCATGCGTTGCAACTTCATGCGTCGTAAATTCACGCACCGTAATTCCACGCGTCGCAACTCTACGCACTGTATCTCCACGCGTCCCAATTCCACGTGTCGCCATTCCACGCGCCATAATTCCACGCACTGTATCTCCACGTGTTGCAACTCCACGCGTCGTAAATTCACGCACCGTAATTCCACGCGTCGCAACTCTACGCACTGTATCTCCACGCGTCCCAACTCCACGCGTCAAAAATCCACGCACCGTAATTCCACGCGTCGCAACTCTACGCACTGTATCTCCACGCGTTCCAACTCCACGCGTCAAAAATCCACGCACCGTAATTCCACGCGTCGCAACTCTACGCACTGTATCTCCACGCGTTCCAACTCCACGCGTCAAAAATCCACGCACCGTAATTCCACGCGTCGCAACTCTACGCACTGTATCTCCACGCGTTCCAACTCCACGCGTCAAAAATCCACGCACCGTAATTCCACGCGTCGCAACTCTACGCACTGTATCTCCACGCGTTCCAACTCCACGCGTCAAAAATCCACGCACCGTAATTCCACGCGTCGCAACTCTACGCACTGTATCTCCACGCGTTCCAACTCCACGCGTCAAAAATCCACGCACCGTAATTCCACGCGTCGCAACTCTACGCACTGTATCTCCACGCGTTCCAACTCCACGCGTCAAAAATCCACGCACCGTAATTCCACGCGTCGCAACTCTACGCACTGTATCTCCACGCGTTCCAACTCCACGCGTCAAAAATCCACGCACCGTAATTCCACGCGTCGCAACTCTACGCACTGTATCTCCACGCGTCGTAAATCCACGCGCCGTAATTCCACGCGTCACAAATCCACGCGCCGTAATTCCACGCATCACAAATCCACGCGCCGTAATTCCACGCGTCCGATTCTCCACGCGCTGTACCTCCACGCGTCGCCACTCCACGCGCCATAATTCCACGCGTCGAAACTCCACGCACTGTACCTCCACGCGTTGCAACTCCACGCGTCGTAAATTCACGCACCGGAATTCCACGCGTCGCAACTCTACGCACTGTATCTCCACGCGTTCCAACTCCACGCGTCAAAAATCCACGCACCGTAATTCCACGCGTCGCAACTCTACGCACTGTATCTCCACGCGTTCCAACTCCACGCGTCAAAAATCCACGCACCGTAATTCCACGCGTCGCAACTCTACGCACTGTATCTCCACGCGTTCCAACTCCACGCGTCAAAAATCCACGCACCGTAATTCCACGCGTCGAAACTCCACGCGCTGTATCTC